CAAATTTTACGAATTGGGCGGTCCTTTAACTTTGCAATATCAGACATTTTTACGAATTGTGCGGTCCTTTAACTTTGCAATACCAGACATTTTTACGAATTGTGCGGGTTCTTTAACTTTGCAATATCAGCAATTTTTACGAATTGTCCGGTCCTTTAACTTTGCAATACCAGACATTTTTACGAATTGTCCGGTCCTTTAACTTTGCAATATCAGCAATTTTTACGAATTTTACGGTCCTTTAACTTTGCAATATCAGACCTTTTTACGAATTGTCCGGTCCTTTAACTTTGCAATATCAGACCTTTTTACGAATTGTGCGGTCCTTTAACTTTGCAATATCAGACTTTTTTACAAATTGGGCAGTTATATAACTAAGTGAACAAAATTGCCAAACTTCATGGTTCCTTATTGTCTTGAGGGTAGAATTTAGCAAGTCCATCTGTTTTAATGTTTCCGTATGCTTGTTGGAAAAATGAAAAAAGCATCCTGGAGGTGCCACGTCAGGAAAATAATAAGTAATAATCTATAAAAAATACAATTTTAATCCAATCTAAAAGTAAAACCTATAATATTATGATATTTTGATATTTTGATAGTCTCATATTTTATCTAGTAGCGTTTTATGAGTGTAGCGTTTTACAATGTAGCATTTTATCTAAGTAGCGTTTTATGAGTGTAGCGCTTTTCTAGGATGACCTTATATATTAAACCTATATCATACCTTTCATTCTAAACTGTAAACCATGTTTAAACTATTATTTAAAATGCTGATATCTGTGCAACATGATGATGTAAGATCTTTATTTTTCTTACCTTGGTTATTCTATTTAACAGAATTTATAGTTTAAAATATTAAGAGTTTAGAATATCAGGTTACAACGATAAGAAAATTATTTTTTGAGCCACGTGATCATTTACCTCAATGTTTTTTTTCATAAACAATTTAAAAATTTTGAGAACTAACCGCGGAACCTTTTATGACTGATTTTCAGATAAATATTCCCTTTAGATAATACACATTGCTTGGTGTAACATTTTAAATTTACGCTCACAGTCCCTTTAATGAAAGTATGATATAACTAGCTAAATTTGTTCAGGGTGGTGCTTCTCGCCTCTCTAGTGTATGTACACACCTTTAGTGTACAACATCTTAAACAAAACTTTGAAGTTTACAACACAACTGACGGTAACGATTTAAATCATCCCCACCCCCTCATTAGAATTACAGGACTGAACAATTTAAGGTTAATGGTTTATTTTTAATAAATTTCTAATTACAAAGTTTTTATGTAAATACATGTTTCGTTTTTTGGAAAAGTTTTCAAATCTTCCGAAAGTATTGAATATATATTACAAGTTTAGACATTTTTGATTCCTATAACTTTAAATCTGAACGAAATTGTTTTTAACTTGAAAATACACGTTTTAAAAATCCCGTGTGTGAAAGAGGTATTAAAGATTATTGGTTTGAGCAAGTATGTATTGTCAATGTTCTCATATTCACACATATGATACAGTTCTAGATATTTGATCGAAGGTTTAGCATTTTGAGAGGTCGATTCAGAACAAGACCCCAAATACAAAACCCCTTAAGGAAATTAAGAAACTAACATACTAATATGACACCGGTCGTGTTTATCCTAGGTTCCTAACGTTTATTGACCAGGTAAGTATGTCCCATATTGACCAGGTAAAAAGTATGTCCCATATTGACCAGGTAAAAAGTATGTCCCATATTGACCACGTAAAAAGTATGTCCCATATTGACCAGGTAAAAAGTATGTCCCATATTGACCACGTAAAAAGTATGTCCCATATTGACCAGGTAAAAAGTATGTCCCATATTGACCACGTAAAAAGTATGTCCCATATTGACCAGGTAAAAAGTATGTCCCATATTGACCAGGTAAAAAGTATGTCCCATATTGGCCACGTAAAAAGTATGTCCCATATTGACCAGGTAAAAAGTATGTCCCATATTGACCACGTAAAAAGTATGTCCCATATTTTTTGAACAAATATCCTAATTTCGAATTTAAAACCTGTCAAACGTAAACGATTGTATATGCATCAATATTTGAAATATAAAGTTCAACAAAAAAGTGTAACATAGCAAATAGATGGGGAAAATCTTCATTTTATAGGTAAAAATGGGTTCAAAAAGGCCATCCTTTAATATTCGCACCAGTGTAGCCCACTTTTGACATCCCCAATGGTCAATGCAAACTTTGACATCGCCAATGGTCAATATTTAATATTATTATTTAGTTTTTGACTTTGGAACCTCAACCGAGCTGGTTCCCTTCGATGGGAACAAAATTCGGGAGAAAAGAGCTCTTGGGACGGAACTGACAAATATGACTACTTCAATGGTAAAATCCAAGGATTTGTAACGTTTTGTGCTTCTTTCTTGTTTTGTTTAAAGGGAGTGTTCACAAAAAATGAATGGGGGTATAGGCTTAATGCGATAAAAAAGCGCTTTTGATCGCTTCTAATCTTACTTCTATCTGTTGCGTCTATAAGGAGAAAATTATTAAAAACTACTAATACCGAAGAAACCCTATGGTCATCGATTATCTTTCGCCACATTTGTATATAGTTGATTTTTCATAATATATTTAAATTGTTATGATCTGAGAGTTACTTATAAAAACATTTATTCCTGTTTTGAGGATTTTTGGTAATGAAGACGACATTTTCATATTTTCGAGGAATGTTCGAAAACAAGTTGGAAGCTAAATGTTATTTTAAAAAATAAAATCAAAACATATTATGAAAAATCAACTATATACAAATGTGGCTAAAGATAATCAATGAACATAGGGTGTAATATCTGAATGATTTGTTTGAAATTAAATAGATTTTTTTACGGTCTAAGTTGTATGTTGCATCTTTCTGAATTTGTATGGATACTACATTCTTCGGTATAAGTCGTTTTTAACAATTTTCTCCTTATAGACGCAACAGATAGAAGTAAGATTAGAAGTGATCAAAAGCGCTTTTTTATCGCATTAAGCCAATACCCCCTTTTATTTTTCGCGAACACTCCCTGTAATGTGATATTTATGCCACCTGTTTCTCTGTAATGTCAAAGGAGTAATAGCTAATTCTATTGAAATAATATATATAATGTCAATGGTTAGGTAAATATATTTGTCTTTGATTAAATTTGGATACTTCCAAACCGAAAAGATATTTTTTCTAACAGTGTGCATTTAATAAATTTCACAACATTTCTAAACAATGAGTTTAAGTTTCATAAAAAGTCTATGAGTTTAATGTTTTTACCAAATAGCAAGAAAATATACAAATAATTAATTTTATGTGTTCCAATTTGGTTCAAATTTCTATATCTTTCTCGGCATCTGGCAAATTGAATAAAATCCATTCTACCCCCTTTTTATAAAGCTATGTATCTCCTTTTAAAACGGCTAAATTTTGTATCGAAGAGTGTAAACAAAATATTTTTCAAAATTACAGTAAAAATTATATACAAGCCCAAAAAATCTTATCAGGAAGAATCTTAAATCTCAAAGTATTTCTTTACACAATAGTATTCAATGTTTAGAGTCTCTTGAGTCAGACCGGGGACATTACAAATCTTAAGCCTGGTGACTCTATCAGCTTAAGAGTTGAAGTAGACCTTCCTGGGATACCTACAGGCTCTCCAAAGGATATTACCATAGAGGTTTTTTCAGCAGACGAAAACCTGGAACCAGTATTTCATATTTACAACCCAAAGGTCTATTCTATCGGTTCACAGCTCTTAATCAATGACTCAGCAATACCTGAGCCTAAAATAGAGTTTGTCTTTAGCCAAGATAAGCCAACTATTGTTGATTTCACAACATTTGATGTGGGAAAAGTCGAAACAGGTGGGCAGGAAAATGGAGCAGATCTTAACAAAATCTTAATTGATTTTCATGCATTTGCGTATCCAAGTTCTAAACTAATAACTGGTAACACATACCATTTAATAAGTGGAGTTTATTTTGAAACAGAGGGCACAATCTTCATCAATGAAATGTCTTTGAATGCTAACTTTCCTGAAACAACCTATGATGCTACTGGTAATGTTATAGATCCTCCTGCTGAACTTAAAAAAGGAGAATCTAAGGCAATTAAATTAGATTTATTCATAACTCACCCTTCTTCAAAATTTACTTTACAAGTATACAGTCCAGAAGGATTTGATGATAAATTCAATATTGGAAAACCAAAAGTGGTCACAGGAGCCTCCTTTCTCCCCCTTGTATCCACTGACTGGGAGTATACACCTCTCTATGTAGATGATGAAAAGCATGTTGGAAAATTCCTCTTGAGCTACCCATTGCTCATGAATAAGGACTCCAGTAGGACTGTTAGCTTAGCTGACAATAAGATGGAAGTTATAATACCAGTCACTGCTATGTTGGGGGATGAAGCTTTTGGTGATCAAGCATTAGCTTTGGGTGTATTATTGGATGACACAGATGTGTGGGCTGAAATTATTACAATTAAAATCATTGACACCATATTTACTCCATTGACTACAGATCCGAGTGCCTCTGGGGTTCTTTTAAATGAATTACCAATAACCAATGGCTCATCTGCAGTATTCCAAATCAATATTACTGTTCCAGCAGGTTCAGCAGTAGACCTTAATGCAATAGAGGCTGCTGGTGCACCAGATGTAATGCCCGTTTCAGTAAGAGTCGTTGATAGAGGAGCATGTGGAATGATTCATAAGTCTGAGATAACATTTTCAGGAAATACTCTTCAGGCAGCCTTTGGTGTTTGTACTGACGTTGCTTCAGATTCAACAGATTTTTTGATAAATGTGGCCTATAAATACACTGGTAATGCTGTTGCAGAACATACGGTGAGTCTTAAAATTGGGAATGCTGTTGTTGGTGGTCTAACATTCAACACAACAGATACAGCAGCAAGTGGATCAATATCTGCAGTAGGATCTTCATTAGGATTTGTAAACAATGAATTGTTTCCTGATACAGAGCTTGGAATGAGTGTACTGTTTACAATACCCCCTGAATCTGGAAGTTTTGATATGTTGGCAAAATCACTTCCTGACATAAACAATGGAAGCACTGCACTGAGACTGTGTAAAGTGGACATAGTATCTGTAGGATTTGGATTACCTTGCATGAGTAAACCTGCTACAAGTCCAATTTACAGCAAAGCTTTACATGACAATTTGTATGATGATTCCCTCAGTTGGGATCTTGGTCAAACCTGCCCAGCACAAATTTCAAAATCACTTTCTGAAAACACTTTGAAGATCAATTTATTCTATTCACTACCCTTTCAAAGTTTTTCCAGTGCAATTCCCTCTGTAACTCCAGGATTTGGTATTGCAGCTGGTGATGATTTCCTTTTTGCATCCATATCTTCTAAAAATGTGTCACTTAGTAATTTAACAACCTTAGAGACAGGAACCACATTTCCTGAACTCAGTTTAACAACACCAATATTAAAAGCCTACAATGCTCCCATAGAGACAATTGACGTTGGAGGAATAAGGCATATTAGACATGTAATGAAGACAAGACCACAAACTAGGGCATTATACAAGTTTGAAGCGATTCCATTTTCTGATCTAAACGTTGGTTACATTTGTAAAATGAGAGTGAGAAAAATCGGGAACAATATGCCATGTGCAACAATTCCAAGTGGTTTTGTGGACAAAAATTACTTTGAAAAAGTAAATATTGATTATAAAGATAAAACATCCAGTATTATCAACTTAGGTCTTCTTACCAACTGGGGGCAATTACCAATGCAGGAAGATCTTTATGCTGATGAAAATGCAGTTGAAATTGATGTATTTTTTAGATATGCTACACTAGCTAGTAATACAACTAATACATTTACTGGAAATGTTTACTGGTCAGATATTGACAAAACTTCAACAGAAATAAGTTATACTCTTTCTGATGTTGTTTTGCCTACAGTTGTAAACCTAGACCTTAATCCAATGTTTGCCACAGTTTTTGAAAATGATACTCTAGAAACAGCATACTCAGGTGTGCCTAAAGTACTGAGCCTTGTATTGACAGTTCCTCAAACTTTCAATGGCCCGGTCACAGTAACTTTTAAAAATCCTGGTTTCTCTACAAACAACTATGATTTTTGTGATGTTAGGGTAACTCAAGTTGGATTGAATACGCCATGTGTTGACCAAAAAGCACAATTCGAATTTTCAACTAATTTTGAAGAAGTGGATGGTCAGCCTACATTCTTTGAAAGTGTGACCATTGTGATTGATATTCAACATCATCTTACCTATCAGAGTCCTGTAGAAAACCAAGTGCATATAGAATTAACATTAAAAATTCCAAATAAGATGACAGGAAGTGCACTTGTAGAAGCAACTGTAAAGACAGATGATAATACTGAGACAGTTACCCAGAGTTTCTCAATAATTGAGTTTACCCCACCAGTTCAGAATATTAACTACAAAGATTTCATGATATCAATGGAAAGTGGAGATATCATCTCAGAGGTTCCCGGGGTTATTCATACAGGTGAAAAAGTGTGGGTGCCATTTAATATTTCCATCCCAAGATTTACAACCATGCCTCTTGAAGTGGTTGTTTTGACTCCATCTGTCGATGGCAGGGCAATCATAACAGTTGAAGATGTCAGGTTCAAACATTTTCCATCAAACATTTGCTGTACTGGAAATGTAAGTATAAAGCATGTTTATGATACACTGCTGAAAGCTTCAGAAAATATAACAACATACATGCAAACAGATTATCTAAGAATTGATTTTGGATACATAATAAATGCACATTATGCCCTAAGAACTGAGTTGGAAACTCCAAAAGATAATGAAATTGTAATTGAAGTTCTTGTACAGATGACTGACCATCCACTCACAGCAAACGGAAGCATCCACAAGGTAAACTTGGCTGCTCAAAGTAATGATGTCATAGTTGTAGGAGACCAATCTCTAACAGTGGCTAGAAGTTTACAAAGAAGCAGTGAGCGAGCACTGATTCAAATGAATATGACTGTAGTAGATGTTGAAAAGGAATTTGCTGCTGGTGATACTGTTCAAATGATTGGCACTATTTCACATTCTGAATTTTCAAGAGCAGAAGGCCATTCTGTTGTTCGAATAAAATTGATAACACCAGTTTGGCTCACTTATGACATCTCAAAAGATCAATGCTTAACAAATTATACAGAAACTGCAGCTTGTGATGTAGTTAAGGAAGGAAACACAACCTATTTTGAATTTAAAAATGGAGTATACTATAGTTCATATATAAATATAAACTTTAGCCTCTCTGTAGATCCATTTAACAAAATCATTCCAGGACGAGGTATACTTAACAGTGCTATTCTATCCCAAGTAGTGTGTACACAAAGTTCTTTTGAATTATTTCCAGCAACTAACGACACTTGGCTTGGGTGTGGACCTTATACAAAAGCCAATGTTAAGGTAGTTTCCCCTCCTTGTACTTCACCAATTACTTTGGATGAATGCACCGTTACCGGTAGCTCAGCATTAGACAAAGGTCATCACCCTTCTAATGTTGCAACTGATACTGATTCTGTATGGTCTCCTGCTATAAGACCAGGTATGATCTGGAAAAATTTTCTAGTGTTTGATTTCCTGACAAACATGCATCTCACTGGCTTAGAGCTTAAATTGCCCACTTCAAATTATGGCCTTCCTACAAAAATATCAATTTTTTCAAGCTCCTCAGGAAATTTTTGGAAAAAGGAAGTTGACATGCTTGATATTCCTGCAAGTGGGGTATCAACCTTTCAAACTCCAATAAAATCTCGAATGACAAAGATATTGATAGAAGAAACTGATGGAACTTTGCCTGTAGGAATTAAGTTTGTCCAATGGAGCGGTTGTCCCCGACCTTTAACTGGTCTCGCAACATGTAGTGCAGACACAACTCCAATTTCTGACAATGCTAAACAATATCGGCATTTCATCTTTGATCCAACCACGCTGTTCTTGTATTTCTGTGACATCAACCCATACAGGGAAAAAATGGCTTGCTTCTCCAACAAACAAGGAACTTCAACCTTTACATCATTACCATCATACATAACATACATAACAGGATACAGCCCTACAACAGGGAGAACTTATTTTAAGGTAAATTGATATCATCCAGTATTATGATAATGCCAGAAACGCATAATTTTTGTTTTTTTAAGGATAAGACCGGAGTTGATTTGTCCAGTACTAATGGTAAGCGGATGGAGATTTTGGCAGATGATGCTATTACCGTTATTACAGATATAGAACCAGCTTTAGCTGTACCTGGAAAGGATAGTAGTATGGCTCCAGTAGTGTCTGGAGATTATTCAGCTGATTACTATGGTATTAAGTATCTAGGAACTGATATTGTAAAGTGGTCTTCTTGCTGCAGTACTCCCTAGACATTTTAAATCAAGCTTGTATTTTTCTTTAATTTTTCAGACCCAGAAACTTTTGTTTTGATGAAAGGACCTTAAACCTTGGGAACTTTTTTGATTTTCTCTTCTCTCTCCCGCTTCCCCCACATTATTTTGCGCAGGGTTTTATAAAAACTTTATCAACCTCTCTTATGGCCAATGGCATAGTATATAAGTTAATCAAAACAAATTCAAATAATAAGTTAAGCTTTTTAAGTCAGAAGTTTTTGTGCTGCTCAAATCTTTGCTTAACCGACAAAAGTTCCTGGCTCAAAAGATTTGAAAGGCATGCTAAATTATTAAAAATAACCATCGTATCATAAAATTTTTGCTAAAAGGTTTTGTTTCTTAGAAATATTAATTAAAATCTATACTCAAGTTATTCTTATCCCTAATGTATCTACTTTCAAAAACTAATGGCTATCTAAGGATACAATTTACTTTCTCTCAAAAATACTATTAGGTTTTTGCATTTAACCTACTTTTAAATAGCAATAAGACATTTCTTTATTTTTTGTAAAAGCAGAAAATATGATAAATATTTCGGAAAGGGTATTGGTTTTATCTAAAAGTGCTGTCTGAAAGTCATACTATACTAATAAGGCCTGTAAATTGGATGTAAAATACAAGTTATAAAATTAAGATTTTAAAAAATTGTTTTTTTTCTTTATTTTGTCTTATATTTAGTGAAAAAAAACAATCCAATAAAACTTTGGAAAAAGGAATTGAGTCTTTGCCACACACTTTGATTTTCTAATCACTATATCTTTGGAACCAAATGTTGCATACCTTAGATATTTCAAACTATGAATTCTGTTAGATCAAATAATCTGAGTTTAGAATATCAAAGGTTTAAAACATCGAGTTCTAAAAATATTGTGGTTTAAATATTTGATTTTGTTCCAAAGACTCAATTCCTTTATCCAGAAATCTTTGTTGCCATTTTTCTAAAATTGGAAAAAACACTTTAAACTTTAGCCATGAACAGAAATATTAGGTCCATCCTTTATCTGGACCAATTCCTTTTTCCCTCAAACAATGTATTTCCTTTGAGAACTCTTCATCCAATCCCTTGCTTAGTCGCTATAAAATTTTTGCTTTTTGCAGCTTTTTCATGTATATTCTTTAAAATTCTAAATTCAAACTTTGTCAGTAACCAATTCGTGATATGTGAACTTGAAATATATAAAGCTATCTTTTTTAATAAAATATTTTAAAAAGTAAATTTTATGTTTTTGTTTCAGATGTACCTACTTTGAGCCCACAGTTTCTCTTTGTATATCCAACGTTTGTTCGTTTGATATTACAGATGAAATGTTCATCTAATTCATCGAATCAGACAAAAAAAGTAAATGTTGTAAAGATTTAGATATTTAGAGTTAAAAGTATTCTAAACAAACTGTAGGAAGTATAAAAACAGATTTAGAGTTAGAATTTTTTGAAGAAACTGTAGGAAGTATAAAGGGTTATCCAGATAAGACTTCAGAGACAATTATACGGAATTTACTCTGTATGTTTTCATTTAATAAGACCTTTAAAGACTATATTCAAGGCAGCAGATTTAATTCAATTTTAAGAGATTCATATTTTAAGAGTTTCAGGTCGTCTTTACAGTCTCATCATTTGTGGGTAAACCTGTATATAATACTAGGCTTCCAGGGAAACAGTTTCTCTTTTGTCAATTTTTACACGTGGATTTTGAAATATCAAAATTTTTAAGGCAATATATTCAATTTCAAGCATACACAGACCTTCCCTGGGATCATGTTCCCTAATATAGGGTACTATGGTTAAGCCGTTATGACCTTAATAAGTTATAAACATGCAGACAAACAGACAAGCAAAGTAAATATTCGTTATGTATATATATATATAGTATTTTCAACTTTTTCAGTTTAAATATACATTATAGATCTTTAAATTTATATTTTCCAAGACAAAATGTTTCATGGGTCTGACCCAATCTTCATTTGGAATAAAACATATATATATAATATATGTTCAAGATTTAAAATTTTACATAATTTAATGTGAATATGCGTCAATATTTCACATTTAACAATAGTTATTCAATCTTCCTTCAGCATAAATATAATCATCAGTTGGAATATGTGTAAACTAAGAATATAGATGGGAATCTGTGAACGAGCACAATTTTTCAAAACGAACAAAATGTTTTGCAAACAATTAACAAATAATCTAAATTGTTTAGAAAAAAACATAAACAATTTCGTTTTTTAAATGAACGACAAAAAGCGACAAATTAAAATTTTCTCACTTTTTGGATCAGCCGTCTATAAGCAAATGGACGATCTCTGAACAAACTTGAAAAAACGATCGGTTTTTACTAAACTTCAGATTTTTATAAAACGATATTTTAAAACTAGTATTGCTTTTTACTAAACGAACGATTTTATTGAACTTAAGCGATTTTACTGAACAAACGATTTCATTGAACAATTGTTCAGGTTAGAAAACGAAGGAAATAAGATGGAAAATGAACGCAAATTCTGAAAACGATTGAATTTTTTTTTTCTAAACGAGACTAAAAAACAAAAGAAATGAACGAGGATCGAATAAATTGAAAAAAGCCGAACGCGAGCATCTCTGACACAGAGATAATTTTTTAAGGAGCACACTGTAAAATCTTTTTTTATTTTTCTTATAGAATATCACTTCAAAACAGATGTTTTCCATTTACATATCAAAATAATAGACGATTTTCTGTAAAGTTCATTAAAGTAATTGTAAAGGCAGTTTTAAGTGAACCACCATGCAAAGAGGTCCGATTTAAAACTTTGATTTGCGTAATAATGTGGAATTGGTATTGTCGTTTGAAAGATTTAATTATGATAATTCCTTGCAAAAGAAATACATAAGTCACTTTTGTAGAAAAACAAAAAGCATTGTTGAATATCTAGTTCATCTTGATCAGACAAACTTTAAAGGGTACCGTTGTAAATCGGGCACTGCCATATTTTTTAATTGTGGGTCAGTGCCATGGCAAAATTTTTAAAGATATTTCTTAGATTATTTTTTGAAAACTGTCTTTGGGGGTTACCAGTGACATATACTTAATCTTTTCAAATTAAGAGTATTCCTTACTTAACAACAGTTTATAAATTTAAATTTTCTCTCTGAATAGGTTTCTCAAAAAGCTAAAATTTGTAAAATCGAACTCACAAAAGTATATTTAAAACGAGATTAATAAAGAGGAAAAAAATATCCACTCAAATAATAAATACATATTAAACAAGTTATGGCATGTTACGTCGTAGTAAATTGACTTTAATGTCTTTCAAGATTTTTTTCACGATATTCAAAATATTTGAGAGGTTTCGTGATTATTTGATATTCAAATGTATTGAAAAAAATTCGAGAAAATATAGAAATGATATATTTTTAGATAGAAAATTCATCAAAATTTATAAAATAAGTTTATTTTTTATTTTTGTTGTGCTGAACAATTTGAATTAGATTTTTAGTGTCGTAGATGTTTGGTACACAAACTAATAATATGCAATTTTTCAAAATGATTCATTCTTCTTAAATTTTCTGATTTGTCCCCAAAATCGTTATTTAGACCCATTGACGTTGTCTAATTTGATTTGACACCCTGTATAATAATAAAAATATAGATAATATTTCTACAAATGTATATAACTAATGATGTTCAAATATAAAACGAATTTATGCTTGGCATGCAACCATTTTTATAATAAATTAACTATTTCAGGAATAGTGAATCCCAGTTTTCAAAGAAAACAATGACTTTTTACAGGGACTGTGACCGTTATTTAAACTGACCCCCGTGCAAAGATGGCAATGCCCGATTTACAATGGTACCCTTGAACGCTTTGTCTTGCGAAGTATGAATTATATAAGCATGTTTTTGTTTGTGTTAACGGTTTATTTTCATATGAAGCAAAGGAGAAATTCACAATTCTCTCACCAAAAAAAAAGACGTAATTAAAGTTATAATTTGTTTACAGTTTTATTCTCTGAATTGGGGAAAATACTAAAATCAACGAAATCAAATTAAAGAAAATTGAATAGAGCAAACACTGGAGGAGCTACACGAGGGCAAAAATGTTTCATTAACGTATCCTAAATTTGCACAAGAATGAAAATATGAGTCTCCAATGAAAATATGAGTGTCTCCAATGGAAATATGGGAGTCTCCAATGAAAAAATGGGTGTCTCAAATGAAAATATGGGAGTCTCCAATGAAAATATGGGAGTCTCCAATGAAAATATGGGAGTCTCCAATGAAAATATGGGAGTCTCCAATGAAAATATGGGTGTCTCAAATGAAAATATGGGTGTCTCAAATGAAAATATGGGAGTCTCCAATGAAAATATGGGAGTCTCCAATGAAAATATGGGAGTCTCAAATGAAAATGATGAGATAGCCAATGTCCCTGGGGGTGTCAGATAGTTCTCCAGTTCAATGATGATGATTTCTTTCAAAACTCTCATGTTATGTAAGATGTTTGTTAAATTCTTTTTTTATTTGAAGTTTTGAAAATCAACTGTGCACAAGCAATTTATATAACGATCATTGAACCATTTCAAATCATAATTTGAGTCTAATTATCGTCTTTTCATTCTAAAGTTTTATGGGACTGACTGTACTAACCAAATCTGAATAAATGATTGTGAAAAGTGTACACACGGAAATTATTAAGGTTTACGTAGATGTAGGAATCAATACTGTGAAGTCTGGACAAATACGCCTTTTAAAAATCCGTTCCAGGCCTTCAGGCAGTTTTAAGGCAGTTACAGGGAGGTCCAGGCTGTCTGGGTGGAAACTATATAGACGGATATATTCAAAAATCTAGTTGTTAAAGAGGCCGCATCCACCCAACCCCCAATTCAGACCAGTTTTATTGGAATTATTATCATTCAAGGGGCTGTATGCCCAATTTCAAGTGACCTTAATCTGATCATAAATGTGAAAGATAATGTAGTTTTTTTTATTAAAAAAGTGTTTAATTCTAATGATTTATCTTTTGTAGGGAAACCACAAACGAAATGAGCAGTATTAAAGAACGAAAACATAAAGTTTCAATTCATACTTTAGTTTTAAAGGGAGTGACCGGCTATGTAAGGTTGTTGAATTGAGAATGCAGTGTTGTAGAAAACTTCTTTCGAATTCATTTGAGACATATTTCACTTTTTAAAGATCTGTAAATCCTCAGCAAAGTCGACGTTCAAAAGTCCTACTTTGAGGTGGATACGTTTTCAGAATTATATTTTAAAATTATTAAATCTGAAAACGTATCCACCCCCAAAAGCAGGAGTTTTGAACGTCGAATTTGCGCTCAAACTCAGGATTTACAGATCTGTAAAAAGTTTCATATGTCTCAAATGAATCCGAAAAAAGTTTTCCACAACACTGCATACTCAGTTCAACTACCTTACATAGCCGGTCACTCTCTTTAAAACTATATATTTATATTTTCCGTTTCTTTTATAAGTTTACAATTGTGTTACATAATAGATATTACATATATCACATTGATAAGTTACGGAAATGGGGTTTAAAAGTGTTTTTAGGTACCGTTGTAAATCTGGCTTTGCGATCTTTAAATGGAGGGTCACTTGAAGTTACGCCTACATTCCATTCAAAGGGAGTGACTGGCAATGTAAGGTAGTTGAACTGAGTATGCAGGATTTATAGATCTTTAAAAAGTTTAATATGTCTCAAATGAATCCGAAAGAAGATTTCCAGAACACTGCATACTCAGTTCAACTATACCTTACATAGCCAGTCACTACCTTTAAACCAATTTCTACAATTTATTTCTACAATGAATAAAATTGGAACCTTTGATTGAAAATTATAATCATTTATTTAGGTATCTGTATAAATATACAAAATACATAAATGACTAGGGCACCTTACTCTACCACCACCCCCTCTTTACTTGGAGTTTCTAATCAAAGACAACTTTTAATTTGACAAAAATAAAATGGTTGGATAAGACTTTTTGTAAACACTGCAGATCTGAAAAAAAGTATTTTAAGAGATTGTTATAATTGTTAGTGTTAAAAATTAACTTTTTACAAATCATGATCTGAATTCATTTCCTTTCTAATATTTGTTGGTTATTTTCTTATAATTTTTTTTACATTTTGTAATATTTTGTAATATTTTGTAATATTTTGTAACATCTTGTAATATTTTGTAATATTTTGTAATATTTTGTAATATTTTGTAATATTTTGTAATATTTGGCAATATTTTGTAATATTTTGTAATATTTTGTAATATTTTGTAACATTTTGTAGTATTTTGAAACATTTCTAATATTTTGTAATATTTTGTAATATTTTGTAATATTTTGCAATATTTTCTTATATTTTCTAATATTTTCTAATATTTTCTAATATTTTGTATTATTTTGTAATATTGTGTAATATTGTGTAATATTGTGTAATATTTTGTAATATTTTGTAACATTTTGTAGTATTTTGAAATATTTTCTAATATTTTGTAATATTTTGTAATATTGGCAATATTTTGTAATACTTTGTAATATTTTGTAATATTTTGTAAATTTTTGTAATATTTTGTAATATTTTGTAATATTTTGCAATATTTTCTAATATTTTCTAATATTTTGTAATATTTTGTAATACTTTGTAATATTTTGTAATATTTTGTAATATTTTGTAATATTTTGTAATATTTTGCAATATTTTCTAACATTTTCTAATATTTTCTAATATTTTGTATTATTTTGTAATATTTTGTAATATTGTGTAATATTGTGAAATATTTTGTAATATTTTGTAATGTTTTGTAATATTTTGTAATATTTTCTAATATTTTGTAATATTTTGCAATATTTTCTAATATTTTCTAATATTTTCTAATATTTTCTAATATTTTCTAATGTTTTGTAATATTTTGTAATATTTTGTAATATTGTGTAATATTGTGTAATATTGTGTAATATTTTGTAATATTGATTTTGATGGTTTTTATATTTTAATAACTGAAGAGAGTCAACCCAGACCAAAATATATTTTCAAAGTGTGCTTTGTTTACTCTATACAGGTTTGATTATCATATAAAAAACAATAAAAATATTAATATAAGTAAAAAGGCTGTTTCTTGGAAAAATTGTCTTTAAAAAATGTGTCCATTGTCCAGCGTACATTAAGTGTACATACAGTGTGTGAAAAGTGTTTGTCAATGTGCAGTGTTTACATTGTACGTGCATTGTACTTGTGTATTTGCAGTGTACATACAATACATACAATAAAAGTAAAATGTTCATACATTGAAACTTCAGTGTGCTGTACAATTAAAAGTTGATAAAATTTGAAGCTTACATACAATGCACAATGTACATACAGTGCACAATGTACATACAGTGTACAATGTATATACAGTGTACAATGTACATACAGTGTACAATGTACATACAGTTTACAATGTACATACAGTTTACAATGTACATACAGTCTACAATATACATACAGTGTACAATGTACATACAGTGTACAATGTACATACAGTGTACAATGCTGTTGTCGGATAGCAGCAAGATTCTCAATAATTAACAGTTAGACAACGGAGTAACCCTCGAATCAAAACCGAAAATGCAGAGAAACCTAAAAAATGAAATGGATAATAACATATAAATTATTACAAATGTTTTATAATTTTTATAATGAAAGATTCTTACGATTTATTAAATGATATGTGGATTAAAACCGTCGGAAAGTCCAAAGACGTTTTTATATATTAAAACTTCTGAAAAGAATGGCAATTAATTATTAAAGAAAGTCATTAATTCTTTATATGAAAATATTCTGTTCACAATAATAAAAGTGTTTAGACTCCGTTACCGGAGAACAAAGAAAACGGGGCTGAAATTATTTGGTTTGGTGTCTCCGAGAGTGGACTTCAAGTTAAAGACGACATTACATGGATGGACATGGGGGGGTTTTATAGTTAATGGTTGACAAATGTGCATACAGTGTACAATGTATAGTGTACAATGTATACAATGTACAATGTATACAGTGTACAATGTATACAATGTATACAATGTATACAATGTATAAATTGTACAATGTATAAATTGTACAATGTATACAATGTATACAATGTATACAATGTATACAATGTATACAATGTATACAATGTCACTGCGATTTAATGGTCTCACGCTCTCAAGCAAAAATCGTTGAGAATTTTGCCAATTACTTCTAAAAAACCAAATTTAACAAGAAGTGTTTTACAGTGCTAAAATGTACATGTAAAGGGCTACAGAAAAGCATAAGTGAGTTAGAGCGGTAAAATCTAAGCTTAGGGCGTTGCGACACTTCAAAGTCAGCCCTGTCTAAAAATTGATGAGACTGTTTATAAGGAGGCTGAATCTATGTGATGTATACATTGTACAATGTACATACAGTGTACAATGTATACAGTGAACAAAGTATACAATGTACAATATATACAGTGTACAATGTATACAATGTACAATGCATACAATGCACAATGTATACAGTTTACAATATATACAGTGTATACATTGTACAATGTACATACAGTATACAGGTGTAATGTATGCAACAGTGTCCATTCAACGGACATACAAAGTGTTAACGACTACAGTGTACACAAATGTTGTACATTGTAAATTTACAGTTATAATTTAGTGCTCATACATTGTACAGTTTACATTCAGTGTACAGTTTATTATGTACAATATTCGACAACGCAATCCCTGTCAAACTATATTGATTATTCATTAAAATTATCAGGAAATGATTTGTGCCTCAAAACAAATAATTATATTTTCTTGTCACCTAAATTACTGCTTTTCAGAAGGTTAATTGATATGTTTGTTCCCGATTATGAGAAGACATAAAAAAAACTGTAAAAATTAATCCTGATCTTAAAAATAATCTAAATTTTTCATTTTTACCTTGACCCCCCCCCCCAAAAAAAAAAAAACAAAAACACATAAAACTAGCTATATCTAGTATCTACGTGAAAAAAATAGAAAATATTATTTCGTGACATTACCATATTTTGTTCATCTAGATTCTCAGTGTTTTCTTAATATTCCTGGTAGCANAGGGGTAGTATTGGACATTGAAGTTGATTTAAAATTGGGTTATACAATAGTGCTTTGCATTCACTATTAATAATGATAAACGTGCTTTTTTATTTAGCAGCATACATGCTCCATACGTTAAAGAACATATAAAATCTTCATCGTTCATTTTCAAAAAGTTTTCAAGCTTGACCTTTTCAGTATGATTTAAAGCCAAAAAACTGAATTGATTAACAAGCATTTACGGTAAATGGGAGGGGGGGGATTTGAATGTGAAGGGTAAATGGGAGGGGGGACTTGAATGGGAAGGGTAAATGATTTTACTATTCTGACGTATAACATTTGCCCCTCTTTTTTGCACTTCAAATTTTGCAAATAGATCCCCTACCTATGAATTATAACATTACGGATTGATATATGTATATAATGCATCTATACAAAAAGTAGTAATCTCTGTTTGTTTTTGTATTTGTATGTCAGGAAGCCCATGACCGATTTACCTCAAAGTTTGATTGGGGAATTCGGAAGCACCACTGGAATGTTCTTAGTTAGGATTTAAGATTCTAGCTCAGTGGATCGATTTGTAGAGGAAAAAATATCTAAAATTGTAATTTAAGACCAACCATGGGTAAAGGGAGGGAGTAACTATATAACTGGGCAACTCTGGGTTCCCATTGCTAGTACCATATATGGTTCATTCCTCAGCTTTTGTAATTTTCTAAATATTTTGTAATTTTCTAAATATTTTGTAATTTTCTAAATATTTTGTAATTTTCTAAATATTTTGTAATTTTCTAAATATTTTACATAACTTTCTGTTGTATTTTTAATAAGTTTAATACGTATTAAGGGAAGCTCGAGATGTTTAAAAGTCCATAGTTTAAAGACTTAATACAGAAAACTTGCATTACATATTTTACTGCGCGCCTGGATAGTAAAAAGAAACAGAGACACGTCAAACTAAAGTAAGATCTGAATATGTATGTTTTCAATCAAAACTTCTCTTATTAAAAGCTATTTGGAAGAACAAAAATGTTTTGATTTTCCAAAATGTACACGGATAAATGTACACGGATAAAATTGACTTCTCACATTAATCAAAACTAGAAGAGCTACGACTACGAGCTCACAAAGTCATAACAGATGTGTCCCATAAATCTTACCTTACTTCTATGCTCTTACCTTCTATGTATTTAAATAATGCGAGACATCTTGATTTGTATATAAATTTTTAGGTTTATTGTTTACATTAATCTATACTAATTTGGAGATGAATCTGCAGGAGCAGCTGGAGCAGGAGCAGGAGCTGCTGCAGCAGGCACAGCTTCAGCAGAAGCTTCAAAAGCATCATCAGCGTTGGTTGCGTCGGGCATGCGTCCATTTATATCATAAGACATAGATTTTTTTCTATCTTCAGGGTTAGGGTCTCCAATAGATAAAGATTCTCCATAAAGTGGTTCTAATTCCATATATGTTGTTTCCTAAACAAATCAAAGATTTAAACCTTGCCTGGGCCAAGTGCTATAAAGGTGATGACTGGTTACGGGAAGTATGACAGCTTAAGTGGTCAAGCGCTGCAGCCACCTTTTTTATGTGATTAAAAAATGCATGGCCGGGGGGGGGGCTCCTAGATGTCAGATTCATGGAAGATATAGTTATGAAAAAAGTCACAGATATGCAATACGTTGAAAACTAACAAAGTTCAAAATTAATAACATTATATCTCGATATATTAAATGTAATAATTTCAAACAATATTTTAACCATGACTTGGGACATACACGTACAGATGAGGTTCAACATTGATGTAGATGTTGGATGTTTCATAGTTTGTGTGGCGGAGTGAGATATGCTTCTTGGGAAACTTTGGGGAGAACCAAAACAATTGTGTCCGGAAACTCTTATTAAGAAATATTTGCCAAATAAGGGGAGGGGACTAATTAGATTGAATAATTAAATGAACAGTATAATTAAATTGTAACCTTCCATTTAAAAAGAGAGGCATCACCGATTGTCAACGGTAGCTTTTAAACCTTTAATTGATCATAACTATCCTGTTTCATCTACAGAATAGTTTTTAATTGTTTAATTGTTTTAAAACTTTAATTGATGAGAACTATCCTGTTTTATCTACAGAATAGTTTTTAATTGTTCAACGGTAGCTTTTCAACCTTTAATTAATCATAACTATCCTGTTTCATCTCCAGAATAGTTTTAAACCTTTAATTGATGAGAACTATCCTGTTTTATCTCCAGAATAGTTTTTAATTGTTTAATTGATCATAACTATCCTGTTTCATCTCCAGAATAGTTTTTAATTGTTTAACACTTTCTTTTAAACCTTTAATTGATCATAACTATCCTGTTTTATCTCCAGAATAGTTTAATTGATGAGAACTATCCTGTTTTATCTCCAGAATAGTTTTTAATTGTTTAACACTTTCTTTGCAAGCTTTTTAATATACCAATTTTTTACTTTCTAGAAGTGGCATGAATATTAGAATTCACATTTTTAAACTGCGTTTTCCACTCCATTTAAAAGGCATTTACACGGAGTTCTCTGCCACTTAAAGGGAGTGTTCGCGAAAAATGAAAGGGGTATAGGCTTAATGCGATAAAAAAGCGCTTTTGATCGCTACTAATCTTATAACAATTTGCGTCTATAAGAAGAAAATTGTTAAAGACGTCTCATACCGAATAACTTAGCGTCATTACAAATTGAGAAAATTTCTCTTCTTATAGACGCAAACAGATAGAAGTAAGATTATTAGCGATCAAAAGCGCTTTTTTATCGCATTAAGCCTACCCCCTTTCATTTTTCGCGAACACTCCCTGTAATGAACAGTCACAGGTTTAAAAGGTACTGTTATAAATCAGGGATGGCCCCTTAAAGTGAAAGGTCACATAAAAAAAGCTTACAGTCCCTTTAAAGAAATTACCGGTTTTGTCTCGACTAAAAATGTTTTTGCTGTAGTGAGGGCAGCACAGCTGAGAACCAAGATTAAAAGAGAAGGATTGATCTTCATCTAAAAACATTAAACATGGTTCTACTTGGTGTCCCACATCCGCTTTGCTTTAAACTTTGCTTTTGTTAAACTTAGCAATATTTTTATATAAAAAATGAAACACGATACAATACTACTTTTGTAGCACTTTCGTTTTTGGTTTGTTTCTGGATCGTTTTTTAGGTCGTTTTTGGTTCGGTTTTTGGTCGTTTTTTTGTCGTTTTTTTGTCGTTTTTTTGTCGTTTTTGGTTCGTTGTTGGTTCGTTTTTGGGTCGTTTTTGGTTCGTTTTTATGTCGTTTTTGGTTCGTTTTTGGTTCGCTTTTTTGTCGTATTTTGGTCGTTTTTGAGTCGTTTTTGGTTTGTTTTTGAGTCGCTTTTGGTTTGTTTTTTTGCCTATAGTTTACGAAAAACAAATTTTTTAAAGGATGAATAAATTTACACACACTATGCCAAATTTTTATCTTGAAAAAAGATAAAAGGCTTAAACCGATAAAAAGACCAACCAAATTAATGCACATCACTACTGATGCAAGACGACTACTAGCAAATTGAATTTGATATTTTTTAGACATTTAAGGCACAATATAAAAAATAATTCAAAATTTCCTGTTAGCTTTGTATCATATATTTATTTAGACAAGACTCGTTTCATCACCAAACATTTTGAAACTTTAGGTTTAATGCATGTTTTTTTATTTTGTTTAAAAAACAGATGATTGTAAAATACATTAAAGCTCGGATAAAAGCTGCAATACATTTCTAGTAACAGTTTTAGATTCTAAATAATGCTTTTCAGACCGCCATTTTTTCTTAGATACAGACATTGATATCTCTAGAATAGGAAGTTGACTATTAGACTCAAGTTTTCACTTTAAAGAATCCAATAAACATGAGGCACAGTAACTGTGCAGTGTAAACAGACCATTAACTTACTAATAAAGCTATTTGCTATGTAGCAACATCAAATATAATTCAGTATTGCTTTAATGTCGTCTTCCTATTCTACAGTTTTCTGGTTATCACTGTATAACATTTGAGTTTTAATGAACAAAAGTAAAAAATTTCTTAAACTAAAATTTCACAGATTTTTCGGTTTACATTAATGGATTTCCAAAATATCGACAAGAAACGTTTCGGATGAGCAAGAGAATCGGGATTAGGAGATCACATTTCACAAAGTTTTGTGATTAAGATTAAGATGCTAGGAATTTTTTGAAAATTAGCAAAATAAAATTTACGTTAAATGTAAACATATCGTAATTTGTAAGTTTATATTTAGTTATAAGTTTTCCCTGAATATTTTTAGAAATATCTCATTACAGCAATTGCAAAGATTCAAATCCTCAGCAGAAGGAATTAAATTTTTCCCACAAACAAATATCTTAATCTTAGCAACCTGATGGTGTATACTTAATCTTAGCAACCTGATGGTGTATACTTTTGATATTTAAAACTTAATATATTTGAATATTTAGTATATTTGATCTATCAAAATTCATATTTTGAAATATTTAAGGTCTACGACATCGGGTTAAATTGATATAGGGATTAAAAAATTAGAGTTTGTTGCAAAGACTAAATTCCTTTCACAATGAAACAAGATTAAAAGTGACAATCATTCCACACTTTTTTGGTTACCACTGTAGATACCTGGAACACTTCGTTGTCAGGTTTAAACTAAAATTCTTATCAACTTGAGAAAAAGGAAATTTCTTTTAAATTAGTTTTAATTTTAATTAGATTTGAAATTAAAACAGAATTACAAAGATTAAAAACATTTATTTTTATAATATTTAATATGTAAATGTTTTCGCAAATTTAAATTGTGAATTGTAAATGAAATACAAAATTTGTGAATATAAAATCAAAATTACCGCTAATTATATTATAGTATACATCAAACAAACAAATGATTAAAATCATTAATGATATTTAATTTAAACAATAATTAAATACATAGTGATTTTCTCCATGACCTGACGCAGAATCGATAATAATTTTTCCAATTTCTCTTTGTATACTTAAACCAAAAACATCTGCTCTAGAAGCTCTGAAAACTGAAAAGTACGTTTCTTGGGCTACTAAAAAAGTATAAGTGAGACATCAAGACGTTGCGATGCATTAAGTTATTGCATGCAATGATTTGAATATTTGCATCAATAAATGTCATTAATGTACATTGTATACAATCTATAATGTGCATACACTGAAAACTCCGGTTCATTTCATGTACCGGGCCGACATTAGAGTTCAGCAAGAGCAAGCTGTACAGTACAAATATACAGACTAAGTAAGAAAAAACGGGACAATACGCCAAATGAATCAGCCTCGTCTAGAGAGAAAATAAAGAAAAAAGGTTATAAATTCTAAAGTTGTAAATTAAATTATTATTATCTATTACTAAAAGTAAAAAGTTACTAGGACATAGTCCTAATGTGGACAGGACCAGATTGAACCCTACATCCCATTCAACATTGCTATGGTCGGCAGCTCCTGGCTCTTTAAGGCTCACAACTGATGCATTAAGAAACCTTTAATACAAGCATTCAACTCTTCTAAACACTTTCCTAAAATAATCATCCTAGGTTTTACTCAGCAATCAGTTGGATTTTCAAATAAAAATGCAAAAAATAAATAAAGCCAAGTTGGAGTCGTTAAACATTTAACCGAGTAAGAGCCAGTTTCAGACCATTTATCCTTTAGTGGCTCTATATTGTTGGACTATTGGAATGCTGGGTTGGCCGGAGCAGAACACCTGTACAAACAACATATAAACTTGTTTTTCATTTTTCCATTTTCCAAAATTCAAAATTTGCCAAAAATTTTTTTTTCAAAATGTAAAAAATGTGCCTTCAAATATTAACAAGATCCATGCACCCCTGAGTTGGAACAAACATGTTTATATAACCCTATGTCTTGCAGTCCCTTCAAGTTAACATGTTGACATAACCCTATGTCTTGCAGTCCCTTCAAGTTAACATGTTTATATAATCCTTTGTCTTGCATTCCCTTCAAGTTAACATGTTTACATAACCCTATGTCTTGCAGTCTCTTCAAGTTAATATGTTTATATAATCCTATGTCTTGCAGTCCCTTCAAGTTAACATGTTTATATAATCCTATGTCTTGCAGTCTCTTCAAGTTAATGTGTTTATATAATCCTATGTCTTGCAGTCTCTTCAAGTTAATGTGTTTATATAATCCTATGTCTTGCAGTCCCTTGTCTTGCAGTCCCTTCAAGTTAACATGTTTATATAACCCTATGTCTTGCAGTCCCTTCAAGTTAACATGTTTATATAATCCTATGTCTTGCAGTCCCTTCAAGTTTTTTTATTGTTAACCTATTTCTGTATAAATGCAGCCTTTTGGTGTAAAGCTTCCTTTTTTCGCAAAAAAAATCCATTCGTTTTAAAATATTCTGCATTTTTGCAAAATGATTGTGTTTTTTCGCATAACTTCCGTTTTTCTCGTGAAATTTTCGCATTATTTTTTTCCGCGAAATTTTAGCATTACTTTTTCTTGAAATTTTCGCGAAACAGTTCGAAGCTAAATTTCGCGAAAATTTCGCACTTTTGACAAAATGCGAAAATTTTACGAAATAAAAATTTTCCATTTTCGCTGGAAACCCTACTTTGAACACAATTTGTAACTTTCTTTTATACTTAATTTTGAATTTAGTGAGAATTAAACACTATTTTACCTTATTTATCAAAGGGTAAGGTTTAGAATCGGGCATGGTTCTCATTTAATAAAGGGTCACCTTTATATTACAGCAACAGTCCCTTTTAATCTCTTAATGAGATAATGAGTTTATCTTTTTTCTTCCATTTATAAGTTTTCAACTTAGGCTAAGAAGTGTAAAATATATAGTATATACATATTACCACTGTATCAATATTTAATATCATTGTATTGATAAAACCAATAAGTTCATTTCTTTTCATAAGAATTAAAAAAATATATTTTTGTGAATTATGAGTTTTTTCTTCACCTGAAGCTTCAATTTTATAATGACAATAGCTTCCAGTTTATCCGGAAAAAATTATAAACCTCTTTTTGAAAACGAATCTTAGAAATGTTATTCGAAATGGTGGATTAGCATAACATTTCACCATTTATTACATATAAATGAAAAAATAAGTTTTAAAAAATTGAGAGATGACATTCAATTCTTTAACAGAGTATTTTTGATTTTTTGAACAAACAAAACCAGATTCACGGAGTTATTTACTTTCATTTTGTTAAATCTTTAACCATTATTTGAAACAAAGACGACTTTTGAGTTTTGGCCCTATTTAAATTCAACAATACGATCTATCTTGCTTATGATTTTGTAGAACTTTATATACATTTGATTGAAATAAGTATACACGAAACACAACACACCCCAAATTTAAAGTTAGACTTCAAAATAAGCAATATTCAGATAAAAGACGATAGTTTCATGTCGTCTTCACAGCTTGAAATTTCTGCACAAGCGAAACGAGATTTATTACTTATAATTTTGTTTGCTAAATCAACGCTCTCAAAACATACAGAGCGTCCCATATCATATTAGATAATCTCCAATCTTTGACACCAAAATATGCACATAATACTCGAAAAAATAAAAATTTCTGTAAGCCTTATTAAATTTTTCAAAATTATTAATTCTTCTTATATTTTCCGATTTGTCCCCAAAATTGTAATTTAGACGAGGGAGGGGGTGCAGAGGCGCCATGATCCCCGCAAAAATTACCTCCGAACCTCAGGATTTGCAGAATTACCTCCAGGCCCCGCAAAAATGGTCTCCCAGCCTCAGTGACGTCACAAATTACGTTTAGAAATTTTACTAAAATGCACCTTTTCTTACGTTACGATTTATCGAAACGTTATTGTGAAAACTTTTTTGTTACACTGACAATCAAAACTGTTTATTTGTTTCGTTTTTATAGAAAGATACGAAAAAATGTTCTATACGTTGCGTTGTATTAAAATGTTCAAGTTTCTAACGTTATACACTTTATTAAAATAATATTGTTTCTATATGAAAGCATTGCAAGATTTTTTTAAATGAAAGTTTTTAGCATTAGACTTTCAACTTAAAGTGTGTCTTTAAGGGACTAGAGACGTAATTTCAAGTGACCTTCCATTTATGGAGTGGCATGTCCAGTAGGGGTGATCAATATTGGAATAGAGCCAACCGCCCACCGGAAGTCGCTGCGTTTTCACCGTAAGGCCACAAAAAATTTTATTTTTTATTTTCGTGTTATACATCATTTTCTTGGAAATTCAATGCTAAATTCAAATCTGAAAAGCGTTTAAAAAAATTGAAAATTGAATGAGTCAAAGCTAAAAAACTAATCAAAAACATTAATAAGTTTAAAAACCGGAATTTAGTACCGTTATTTGGCCATAACTTCTTTAGATTTTAATATTTTTAAAAATGGTTTTGGAATCTGAATTCAGCATGAAATTTCCAAGAAAATGATTTATCATATTTATTTTTTGAAATATTTTTTTAGATCTTGCGGCGATTTCTCCAATATGTCAATTCGCAACCCTATGGACGATTTTGAAATTTTTTTTATTGCAATATTTTTATTAATTTAGAACGCAGCGACCTCAGGCTGGCTGAGTTCTAAAAAAAGTCACAAATCAATCACCCTTAACGTCCAGTATACATTTACAAGCTAGGAAAACACTCCTATAAAAAATAGACATGTTTTGGAACACTTCATAAAATGAGTTAAAATTCGGCAAGGCAAACCACTTTTGTATGTGGAACAGTAGTTCTAAATTATTTTAGATTAGTTTATGGTTAGTTTTTTCTTTTTTTACGCAATGCAGACTGACCCTTTTCTTCTATCTAACAGAATTCATAGTTTAAAATATCTAAGGTCTACAACATCATGGGTAGCAAACATATAGGGATTAGAAATATAAGTTTGTGAACAACTCAATTCCTTTAGACATTCTTATCTAACAGAAGTCATAGCTAGAAATATCAAAAGTCTACAACACCAGCGTGCAAAGGTGTAGAGATTAGAAAATTATAATTTGTGGCGAATTTTTAGTTTTTTGTGTGTGTTTTTTTTATGTTACTTACAAAGTGATTAAAAAAGCGGCGTTAACTTTAGTTTACAAACCACAAGGAAAATGTTTTCAGAGTTCATGTTTGAGGTTAAAAAATATAAAATTTAGTAAGAAAAATGCAAAATTTTTTTTAACGCAAAGAACGCGAAATAGAATTATTTTTTTTCTTTTTAGAAATAAATCGATTAAAAAATCATTTTTTCCCATTCTAAAGTTTCATAAAAATCTATTGCTGAGTAAAACATAGCACGCATTTTCCATTTGATAATTGTGTTTGTTCATAGACCCGTTCCACTTAATATTTGATTTTTTTGCAATTAGTAAATCAATTGCTTTATTACAGAAAATGCATATGTAAAATTTCTTAATGTCGTCTTCCTTTTCCAGAGTATTAGTGGGTTTCATCAAACAATGGCAAATCAAAAACCTTTAATGTCCAAGAAACATTTATAAGATTTGAATTTTTTTTTCAAATTTACTAATCCCTATATCTTTCCAACCCAATGGTTTAAACCTTGTATATTTCAATATTAATGGTCTTCGACATCGGGTTGCAAAGATATATTACATGAAAATTCTAGTTTGTGGCATAAACTTATTTTCTTTAAACTTGAAATGAAAAACCATAAGTCTTTGCTCTTATAATCATCAGAATTATTGTTACACTTTTCAAATTAAAACTCAGCCCTCATAGTTTAACGTTTTATGAACAATATTTTCATCAGACATATATCTAACGTTAGACTAATCAATTTAGTATTCAGAGAAAAGTTATGAAACGTTTTGATTTACAGAATTACATTTTTTTAAATGTTATACGTTACATTATTGAAAGTTTACTCTGTAAAAAAAACTTTCGTTTCCTGATTATTAAAATAATAACCCATTTCTGCAACGTTGAATTTTTCATTATACTATAAGGGAAAACGTTTCAAAACGTTTTCATAAACAGTAATGCATTTTACAGTTATACAACGTTACACTTTTTATAAGTTGAACTTTGAAATAGAAATCCTTTCGTTACGATATTCAATCAAATCACAATTAATTTTTCAAACGTTAGACTTTCAAGCTCCCCTTGGAAACAAAACATTTCCTTACGTTATGGTCAAAAAAGTTGTAGATATTAGAAAATAACGTTACATTTCCACAAAACGCAAACGTTGGGGATATGTTCCTCTAACGTTAACGTTTAACGTTAACGTTAGGTATGAGCTCCTATAACGTTAACGTTTGACGTTCGCGTTCTATAGAATGTATACACACATTACACATTACTGTAACGTAACGTACAAAAACGTACATTTTACGTTACGTTACACTATCGTTGACATCTCTAGACTGGAGACAGAATGGCGGTAGGCTTGGTGACGTCACTGAGGCTGGGAGACCAGTTTTCCGGGGCCTGGAGGTAATTCTGCAAATCCTGAGGTTCGGAGGTCATTTTTTCGGGAATCATGGCGCCTCTGCACCCCCTCCCTCTTTAGACTCAATGACGCGGTCTAATTTGATGTGGGACACCCTGTACTTCAACGCAAACGCACAAGACTTTAATTAATCTGGTAGTAGAAATATAAGTGATTATGTATGTACATACAGAGTGTCCCACGAAACATGACACTTGGTGAATAGTTTTTAATGTCGTCTTCCATACACTGTATTAGATATCAAATTCTTTATACAATTTATTTCGTTTGAAAAATCTTTCGCTCAAGTATATTTTACTTTGAAAAGAATTTCAATATAAAATTACCCCTATATATTTTTAATATTGAATTTGGTATTATAACAACTTAAAAAATTATGGAAGAAGACATTCTAAACTATTTACCAACTGTCATGTTTCGTATTTAAAAAATGTTCTGCTGAAATGTTTCCTTTTAGAACAGTCTATAGAATGTAGAATCAATTAAAATTTTAATAGTAATATTATAATTTTAAATTATAAATTCACTTTTTAACATGGTGTAAATCTGCGAGAAAAAAAAATAAAAAACAACAATCATAATTTAAAAATAAAATAATTTGAACAGTTCACAATCGATAGGCTTCCTGGCGAGTTATACGTTTAAAGGTACAAATTGTTAAGTAAAAGTCGTCTTTGGTCTCCAAATTCAACATTTTTATATTGAATAAACTTTCTTTTATTTCTTTTATTTGAATTTTTAAAAACTAATTCCTTAACTCCCAATTTTAAGTTTATGATGCACTGTTATTTCGGAATTAGAAGAATTAACAGATATAATTTTCTTTTTCTTCAAAATAATTTGATATTTCTTGTGCATTATTTTTTTTAATGACTTCCTTCTTCTGGATCTTTTTTTCTGAAGATTTCTTCAATGTTCTGGATTCTTTTCTTGCTGCTAATTTACATTCTTGCATAATCAAAATCTAGATCGGAAAGGTTAAGATGATTTTCCGGAGTAAGAATGATTTTAGAATAAAACTCATTTTCCTCTCCACTTTTGTTTTCCAATAAAAGATGATTATCGTTAGTAGTATCTTCGTTCACCTCAGAATTTAAGTTTAAAGTGTTCTTCTGCTTCAATCAATGTACCATGGGCAGGGTTCAAAATTATTCCCGTTCATTTCAGGATCAAAATGACCCTCTACAAGTTCATGATCGTTTTCATGATCACCTTCAATTAAAGGCTCCTGGTCAATTGACGAATCATTTTCATTTCCCATATCAGGATCATTTACCCCATAATTATTGATCACCATTCCAGGATCATTTCCTGTTGCATGATCATTTACAAGTTCGTGATCACGTTCCATTTCTATTTCCTGGTGGCTGTCATTAACACCTTCAATTTGAAGCTCCTGGTCATTTGAAAAATTATTCTCACTTTCCATCTCAGGATTATTTGCCCCTTTATTGTTGATCACCATTTCATAACCCTTCACAAGTTCAGGATCGCTTTCATGATCACTTTCAATTTGAAGCTTCTGGTCAATTAACAAAACATTTTCACTTCCCATCTCAGAATTATTTACCTCTGTATCATTTATCACCATTCCAAAATCCTTTTCTGCTGCATGACTCTTTACAAGTTAGGAATCCACATGAAGATCTTCCATTTCAAGTTCCTTATCATGTTCCACCTCAGCATAATTTTCAACACCATCATCAAGATCAACCTTTTTCCTTTTACGAGTGAATTCTTGTTCAATCATACCTTTAGGTTCAGGATCAGGGCAAGCTTTTCTCTTCATCCTCTGCTGCTGAGCATTTTTCATGTGTCGAGCTATCTGGAAACGTTTTGTCACATATACTACAGTAAAAGGAGGGCTTCTTGCAAGTTTTTATGTGTTCTCTTAAAGTGTGTCTTAAAGTTTCTCTTTGGAATTTAGTCTCAGGATCAAGGTTTAGCTGACCTTATTCCAGGTAATACAGTAAGAGTTCAACATCATGCCCCTCCTGCTCTTCATCCTGGGATTGCTCCTGTTCTTGTTCCTCCTCCTGCTCTACATTCTCTGGCAGTTCCTGCTCTTGTTTTTCAGCTTGTTCATGATATGATAATAATTTTTGGTCTTGATTCTCCTCCTCCTCATAATGATCTTGTAAAACTATTTGTTCCAACTCCTGCAGGATCATTTAGATTTGGTTCAGATTCCTCTTCCGTTAAAAGGTCAGACCTAGATTTATATTCTGATTCCATATGTGATTCAGTGATAGTTTTATATTCACTCTCAATCTCAGAATCAGATTCAGATTCATTAACAGGCTCAAATTCACTCTCAGATTCAGTTTTGGACTCAGATTCAGTTTCAGGCTCAGATTCAGTTTCAGGCTCAGATTCGGTTTCAGGCTCAGATTCAGTTTCAGGCTCAGATTCAGTTTCAGGCTCAGATTCACATATGTATTTTCATGCGTTGTAGCAATTCACTTGCCCTCAAAAACAAGTGCTCACATCTAAGACATGGCATTTTACTTGATGAAGTTTGCATCCTTCTATTCCGCCCAAATTTGTTTTCACTTGTATAACATATATAAGGCACTGAAACTGTGTTTGTTTCTAGGTCTTTTGATATAATTGATGAAGTATTTTTTCGCATAATCTTTTTTTTTAAGAATTTCCGAGTCTTCGGGTATATTCTGCGAACTCTGAAAGTAAAGTGAGGGTAAATACAGTCGATGATGTCTGAATTAGAGAATAATAAATTAGAATAAGTTTATTATTGTTTATAGTATTATTCCCCTGTCTCAACATTTAGTTTTTAGTAGAAGAAACAAACCCTGTATGTTCTTTAAATAAATTTAAAGCATAGAATAGACTAAGCTCCCCCCCCCTTCTTCATTAATGCAAATGTTAAAAATCAAAATAATTTTCAAGGAAAAAAAAACATTTTAGTTTTGTTGTCATTTTCAAGATTTTGATTCATGATTGACCTAAAAACTTACAGATTTATTAGTTCCCCCGCCCACTACTTTTAGTTGCATAGATGTTCTAATTCAAAAATACTATTATCTCTTTTTAAGGTTCAAAGTTTCACTTTACCTTTCTCGGTTCTGGATCCAACTCAGTTTCAGTTTCAGATTCTGAATCCAATAAAGCCTCAATCTCAAGATCTTCTTCATATTCTGATACTGGTTTTGATAAATAATTATCATATTTCTGATTCCATTTAACTTTTCTAAAATTAATTCTGATACGTTTGCTAGGGAATGATTTTGGTCTCGTAATATCCTGTTGTTGCTCAATTACATCATTACAATCCTCTGACCTGTCTGGAGTCTCTTTTGGGTTGATTCTCTTCTTCTCCTCTTGTATTCTAGAACTGTCCTGTTCCAGACCTACTCCATCCCTTGATATTACTCCAGTACTTCAATTCTGTCCTAAAATTAAAGTTTTTTAAATGTCCTGTCAACAAAAATAGCAGACTGTAAGGTTGAGAAGAATTAGCAGCAACCATTCAATTTAAAAAATTACTTAAAATGGAGAATTGTCAAGAAAAGAACTGAGCAATTGAAATAAACTTCAAATATTTTCATTTCTAAAGGGACAAGATGGCGTCATATCAAGTGACCCTGTCCACAAACACAAAAAAAGCGGGGCATGGACGCCTGCCCAATTCACAACATGTGCCCTTTAAACCTTTGTCTGATAATCGACAGCCGAGTAATCCTTGTGTTTATCTCTATATTGATGTTTATCGGAAAACTGCAGAGCGTGAACTCGATCCAGAATGCCCGACTTTAAAATCTCAAAAATCAAAAATACTACGAAAAAACAAGAAAATCCACAGTTTTTATTAGAAAAACATCTATTTTTAAAAACTGAGATCCGATTTCAAATCTTTTTACAGGGCAAAGTTTCATTTAAAATTAACTCTAAAACAGCCAAAAAAAATGTAACGGGCAGACAATTAATCAAATCATATCAAATCAATAATTTGTGTAACTTAAACTGACAAAAAATTTTCAAGCAATTATAAAAATAAATCTTATAAATTACCATGTAGAAATTTGCTCCCAACATTTTGTAAGTTTTAATTATTAAAAGGTTTAAAAACAGAACAAGAAAACATGGCTTTTAATTTAAACCTAAACTTTTTAAACTTACCACAAAAAATCAAATTCATTTTGTTGTTCAGGGTTTGAATCAGGTCAAATTTCCTGATCATGATCCTTAAATAGATCCTGATCTTGCTCCTCCTCCTTTTTTTGCTCTTGATCCCTGAGCAGATCCGGATCTTGTTCCTCCTCTTGCTCATGATCCTTTAACAGATCTGGATCTTGTTCCTCCTCTTGCTCATGATCCTTTATCAGATCCGTATCTTGTTCCTCCTCTTGCTCATGATCCTTTAACAGATCCGGATTTTGTTCCTCCTCTTGCTCATGATCCTTTAACAGATCCGGATCTTGTTCCTCCTCTTGCTCATGATACTTTAACAGATTCTGCTCTTGTTCCTCCTCTTGCGCATGATCCTTTTAACAGATTCTGCCCTTGTTCCTCCTCATTATCATGATCCTTTAACAGATTCTGAACTTCTTGATCAGGCTGAGATTCAAGGTTTACATCACACTTAGGTTTAGAACGCAATGTAAAGTCAGCTTTAGAATTCTTATCTTTATAATCTTCGACATGATGGGATCTCATATGAACTGTCAGAATAGACTCCCGTTTAAATAACACTTCACATTGGTCACCAGTGTGAGTTCTCATGTGTATTGAAACATCAATCTTATGTCAGAATTTCTTTTCACATATATTGCATTTATGAGGTTTTTCACCAGTGTGAGTTCTCATGTGTCTTGACATATTTCTCTTTTGTGAAAATTTCATTTCACATATATTGCATTTATGAGGTTTTTCACCAGTGTGTGTTCTCATGTGTACTGAAACAGTACTCTTATTTGTGAATTTCTCTTCACATATATTGCATTTATCAGGTTTTTCACCAGTGTGAGTTCTCATGTGTACTGAAACATCACTCTTATTTGTGAATTTCTTTTCACATATATTGCATTTATGAGGTTTTTCACCAGTGTGAGTTCTCATGTGTCTTGAAGTATTTCTCTTTTGTGAAAATTTCATTTCACATATATTGCACTTATGAGGTTTTTCACCAGTGTAAGTTATCATGTGTTCTTGTAAGTATCTTCTACTTTTAAAATCATTTTCACATATATCACATTTGTACAGTTCTTCAGCTGGTTTCAGATCATGATTCAGTTCAACCTCTTTTGCATGCTCTGGCTCTAGTTTAGAATTTTGGTCTGAAACTTGTTCATTTAACTCGAGGATTACTCTGGACGATGCCAATTTCAAAGCGTAATCAAATTTTTTATTCCATTTGATTTTTCTTACATCAATTCTAAGTCTCTTTCTAACGGTTCTATTAAGCTTGTCTTCTTGCTTAACTATCTCTCCTTCTTCATGATAATTCTCAGACCTATCTTGACTTTCTTTTGGTTTAATTCTCTCCTCCTTCTATATTCTAGAACTTTTATGGTCCAGTCCCACTCCGTCCCTAGATACTCTGATACTTCTATTCTCCATATTCTGCAAATATAAGTGGTTTTGATGAATTAATTGACTGCAAGGTTGGAACAATTAAAAGGTTCCAGTGGTTGCAAAGACCATTTTTTAAAAAGTAAGTTTTAATTTTCTCAATTACTTTCCTTTCTTTACAATCCTTTCTTTTGGTAAAAGTTAAAAATTGATTTTCAAGATTTTTCGAATTTCCGCATTTCTTTTTCATTGTGTATGAAGTATAATAAAATTGACAGATTTTCGTTTTCTATTTTTTAAACGTAAGCCGTGAGTCTAAGTTTTCTCATGAAATAAATATACTGTGTTCGTCTGTTTGTCTGTCCGTTTGTATCCAAAAAAAAGTCAAAACGGCTGAACCGATCAGGCCAACATGGGACCTCTTGTGACCCCAGGGAAGGTTTATGAATGATCAAAATTTCAAAAATTTGTTTTTAAACGTTTTTTATTTTTGAAAAATTGGGAAAATGAGCGAAAAATTATTATGAAATCCGCAAACTTTTTTAATAGAAAGAAAAATTTCACCTTGAAATGTCTAAGATAAAGAGTTTTCCGATGACACCTTGATTAAAGGTTTTCTCTTGTATAAGAGTTCTCCTGTGATCTTCCACTGCTGCTCCAGTGTCAACACTACTTTTTAACTCAGCTGTTCTGAAATTAAAATAATATAAATCAACATGATAAACTTTTTTCTTTGACACTTTTGCAATTTCAACTTTTCTAAGTGGCCATAATAATTTAAACCTGAGCAACACCAAAGACGTCATAGTTTCAAGTAAATTAATTTCAAAATCATTCTTCCTTCATTCTTCCTTCATTCTTCCTTCATTCTTCCTTCATTCTTCCTTTATTCTTCCTTTATTCTTCCTTCATTCTTCCTTTCATTCTTCCTTCATTCTTCCTTTCATTCTTCCTTTCAATCTTCCTTCAATCTTCTTTCATTCTTCCTTCATTTTTCCTTCATTCTTCCTTTATTCTTCGTTCATTCTTCCTTTATTCTTCCTTCATTCTTCCTTCATTCTTCCTTCATTCTTCCTTCATTCTTCCTTCATTCTTCCTTCATTCTTCCTTCAGTCTTCTTTCATTCTTCCTCCTATTCTTCCTCCCTTACCCCTTCCTTATACTCCCTCAAGTTATTGTAATATATCGATCTCCTGTGAACCCTTTATTGGGAGAAACGAGTCTAAAAGCAACCCCCGCGACGCATTACTGGAACCAGGAAAAAACGGTTTGAATAAAAAATTTAGAAATTTCAATTGTTTTCGATACACAGAAACACATTTATTTGTTTATAAATTTGTTTAAAATTGATCCGAGGAATAGTTTAAAGGGTACCGTTGTAAGTCAGATATTCCACTCATGCATGGAGGGTAACTTGAAATTACGCTTACTGACCCTTTGATTGAATTTTTTCAAATCAATTTTAAAAAAACTGAACACCTGCACCACAAGTAGTTTTGTGGAGACATTTTATCATTTGAAACCTATAACTACTGAGTTTAAAGCGCAAAGTCGATTTTCAAAATCATCAATTTGGGTGGTTACGTTTTGAGAATCGATTTCTTACATTAATAGATAACGACGACAAAAAATTAAACAAAATTCTACGGTAAATTAATTTAGGAACCGGTTGAGAAAATAAAAATTAACTCGAATCATCGAAAATAAAAAATCTTTCTCAGTTATTCGTTTTTTATTGAAACGACGACATTTGAAGAATTTGTAGAAATATGGGAACAAATTCGTAAAGAATAAAAAAATCATTTGATTAAAAAGAAATAATTGATTCTAATATTGAATTATTTACAGATGTTCCTAAACATCTAGTTAGTTTAATGTAGAATTTTTGATACATTATGTGTCGTCCTTATTTAATAATTCAACTCTCAAAATGTAACCATCCAAATGGATTTTGGAATTTCAGAATTTTCTCTCTAGGATAAGAAAAGATAAAGGAAGGATCTAAAAATCCCCCATCTTGCTTAATCTTCAATCTCAGGGGGGAGCCATTTAGTTTCAAAGTGAGCAATTTTTCAGGGGTAAGCGGCCACTCCATGGCCCACCACAATGTAAAATACCCTTCTCGCCACTACCACGCCGATTCACAATGCCTGAGAACGGCAGACCCCCCCCCCCCCCAACGTGGGGCATTTTAATTTTTTTTTTAGATTGCCTGACGTGGAAGAATAAATGGCAACATCATTTTTTTGGATCATTGAGTATTTCTTGATTTGATTCAATTTTTTCTTGCGGCGCGCTGAAGATAACATTACGTTAAAAAAATTGAGCCTGGATTATGTCATCGAAATAATATCATCATGTAAATTTTCAAGCAGATAGGAAAAAACTTTCTGATTCACCACTAAAAAGTCAAAAACAAAAATGTCTGTCCCACATAATAGCTTCAGATTTGTGTCTGTAAAAGATATCAAACGTAAATTTCAACGTTTTGCTTAATTTTAAGGCTCAAATACTTTTTTATCAATAATCAATATCAAAATTTGAGTTCATGAGAAATGCCACCCTTAAAATGTTAAAGTCTTGAAAGAACGTGCTCATTGAAGCTGAATTTAAATTTTCTGACCAAATCACAAATGTAATCTGTTAAGAAATGATTCTGTCCTAGAGNCATATGACCACTAATTCACAGCAAAATTATTATAATTTGTTTTATTAATTTAGGGGGACAAGGACAGGCTAGGGGCCCAGGAAAATAGTTATATATATATAATTAAATTTAAATGTCCGTCCATGAAATGTTCATTACACCTCAATTCCATTACCTCCATGAGAAGCTGAGACGCAATTAACAGTTCTGAAATTGATAGATAATTATTGTCACTGCTCACAGCTAGTCACTGCTCAGTTTCTGCTTCTTCATAAGATTGGTATGCTAGCTGCTCTAATCTTCTGCTCTGTACGGTAAACACTTAACAGCAACACATTACCCAACTGATCAGCTGATCAGCTATCACTCAGTATTCAGTAAATTTGTTACTTGTACACTACTCACTAAATATATCACATGACGCGGTTAGTTCCTAGTTTGGAGTTGTAAGTGAGAACCCCTATTAGGACTTGATTGCAATTTGCAGTTGTTCATCATGGTCAATCTTTTAATGCAAAACGATAACAGTTTGTTTTGAATTCGTATTCTTTAATTCTACCATTTGTTTTCAGGTAAGGTTAGGTAGATAGATATATATGGAGAGAGAGAGAGAGAGAGAGATCTGACGCTGAACTCCAACCTTCGAGTGTGCGAGGTGGGGAAGACTTCACTGCCGCGCTTAATTAAAAGCATGATTAAGGGGGGATGACATTTGTAGATCGAGATTAAATCCAAGACGCAGCGCTCGGCCCGGAAAGTGTCATAACTTAACCTAACCCATGGCCGCAGCGCTCGGCCCCCTAGCCTGTCCTAGCCGCAGCGCTCGGCCCAGAAAGTGTCTTAACCTATCCTAACCCTAAATAAAAGAAAGTGTCATAAATTAACCTAACCCGTGGCCGCAGCGCTCGGCCCCCTAGCCTGTCCTAGCCTGCAGCGCTCGGCCCGGAAAGTATCTGAACCTAACCTAACCCTAAATAATTACTAATTTAATTGAAAATTGTTAAAAAGTGGTCATGTACAAAAGTAAAATCTGCAGTGAAGTCTTCCCCACCTCGCACACTCTAAGATTGGAGTTCAGCGTCTGCCTAAAAATTATGTAAAGTAATGAAAGTTTCCTGTTTTGTACGCATGCGCAATACATGAAAATAGAAACAGCTGATTGTAGATAGAATAAATACTCTTTACAAAATAAACCAATATTTGATTAGAACTTTGGAGTCATTCAATTTTTACAAGTATTGACTTTATTTCTTTGAAAATTTTTTTAATCCCTGCAAGGTATGAGGCAATTCTAGAAAAACTATTTACTAAGCCCTGCCAGTGTAACAGAACAGTGTACTCTTTTAAGGCTTATGCCTTGATAGTAGACAAGTTTCAAGAAAGTAACATGACGTGAAAAGCATAAAATTTAAATACCTATCCTTTTCTTTGCATACTAGATTTTATAATTTTGATTATAATTACATTTTATAATTGATAATCTGTTACTCTGTTACTCTGTTACTCTGTTACTCTGTTACTCTGTTACTGTTACTCTGTTACAGTGTTAGTGTTAGTGTTAGATATTGTTGATAATGAGGTATTGAGATTTAATACGTTTTAGTAATTATCCAAGTTAATAATGTTTTCCTGAATGGGCTTGTTAAAGTAATTTTGAATAGATTTAGAGATAATTACTAAAACTATTTGTTCAATAGTTGTTACCTGCACATCTGATCAGTCTCCTGAAACTGCTTTTATTACATTCTGAGATACTTGATATGTTATTTTAGATGTAGATTATAGATAAGAAAAAAATTAGAATGTTTTTTTTTTTTGGGGGGGGGGAGGACATGATGAGTAAAATGATTAGTTTGAGATGCACTGCAAACTATACAGAAGGAGAAGGTAAAGCGTATGCGGCATTTGTGGGACGAATTTGTGACATCCTGGCTCTTCTAATTTTCATTTTATGCACAAAATTATCCGTTTAAAATTAAATAATAGAAATTCAGAACAATTTTGTTCTTTTCTCTAGATCTTCAATGAAAAGAGTAATGATTGAAAACATAGAAATATTTCAACCTAACGTGCAATTAACTTAAATTTAAACCCTAGAACAAATTTAGTAAATTTTTCTCTTCTGTTAGAAATTTTTACTTCATTGCGAATTTTATGCGCATTTGTACACGCATGATTTTTTCCAACCTGATTTAGAGAGAAATATTCAATAACATCTAAAATCATTCGAAACTACCAGTGGTACGAGATTGACTTTACGACTTCTCCAGTTGTCTTTTTACGGTCAGAAGGGGGAGAAGTAAATTTGTTACGTGTTATTAGGATTTGAAAACTTATTTGAACTCTTTTGAAAAGAGAGAGATATTTTAAAAAAAGATGAAAGGAATTGAGTTCCTGTCACAAACTCGGATTTTCTAATCCCTATATATTTAAAACGCGACGTTTTGATTTTTCAAACTATATAAATTGTGTTTGATCAAAAAGTCTATGTTTGAAATGTCAAAAGGTGCTCACCATCAGATTGTAAAGATATGGGGAATAGAAAATTTGAGTTTGTGGCAACAAATCAGCTGCTTTACTTGATTTACAGTGGTTAAAAATAATCTGCACAGCTCATGAAATGCGTAAAATAGAGTTTACCTTCCAAACATTGGGTTATAAGAAAATAAACTCGATATATGATATTATGATAGATATATGATATCATGACCTCAAATATTTGAAAATATTCGAGTGAAAGCTGTAAATTATCAAATTCAGAGTAAACATACAGGGGACATCAAAACGACACGTCAAATTTAAGTAAATTGTAATTTTGAGATAAATCTTGAATATGTTCAATCATAACTCTTATTGAGGAACTATTATTGAAAAGTTTTTTGATTCTCGGATTTGTAACTGGATATTCTCTTCTTGCACATGTGCATAAAATCCAAACAAGATGAGCTACAAGGTTGCAAATTTGTACAAGCAATCTACATTTAACTGCACTCCCTCTATCCAGTAATAATTCTTCATTCACAAGGTCAAAATTATTCGACATTATTGGAACAACTACTTGACCTTGTAGCTCCATTAATTGGGATTTTACGTCCAAAAAAAAAACAATTTAATCCAGTTAAATATTCAAAATTAAAACATTTTTTGGTTTTCTCATTAACCCTTCAAGACAAAAAGTTATGATTAAAATTGTTACGTTGTAATGTTACCGGACTATTGAACTAAAGATGAGCAACGTTCGTTAACGAGCGGCAGTTTTTGAAAAATTACAGAAAATTTCGTTAACGAACGGGAAAAATCTTTGATTATCAATCAATGACAAAAGAAACGAAAATCGTCAATTGTTGACGAAAGAAACGAAAAGCGTCAATTGTTAACGAAAGAAACGAAAATCGTCAATCGTCAATGAAAGAAATGAACCGCTCATGAAAAGAATGTAATGTAAAATAATTTTAACAGCTACCGAACTTAACAACCGTTAATGGTGAAGGAAGTTAACAAATATTTATTATATCTACCATTAACGCCGTTCAGAAATCATCGTTAACGATCGGCAAATTTATAAAAAAAAACTTGATGAACCTTTCTGTTCCCGATAATGAGAACATTTGAGTTTGTGGCAAAGACTCGATACCTTATACACGGAAATATTGTTAAAGGTTATTGTACATTTGCGCATTGTCTGTTTTTTTTTGGGGGGGGGGG